CTCCCTCCCTCCCTCCCTCTCTTTCTTTCTATATTTTCAATGAACAATATTTAAGCTTCGGATAGACCTCATTGGCTATGACATTGTCACTGTGCAAAGCTGCATGCCAGCCATTTTAATTTTGCTAATGCCCGGTTTATCCATTTGTTCTCCTATAGATCATGTTTCTAGTGTTGAATCTAAAAAAAAAAGTTATTTGTGTTATTCAATGTCACAAAGGCTTGCTCCCATGTCACTGTAAGATTGAATTGGCCGTGGAGAAAAAGAAAGAAGGTAAAGATAGAAAACAGTTTTAAAGATTGATTTCAGAGTTCCCGAGGGGGAGGGAAGAGCAGAGAAAGGGACAGGAACATCCTGAGCTCCTTGGCGAGGTCCACGGGTCCCCAGCTGGGGGCCCAAGAAGTCACGCTGCCTGGGAGGGAGAAGTAGGGTTTTACAGTACTGGTCTGGGGTAGGGGCAGTTTGGGGAATTTTCCATTTTGGTTTGGCTGTTCTGCTAGGTGGGCAGTTAGAACTCAGTAACAATGTAACAATGCCATGGGGGCTGCCATCCACCTGGGTCAGGGCTTCAAAGGCCATCGTCAGGAGTTGTTGAGTACTGTCGTAGGGTATTGCTCCACTTGCCTGCCCCACCAGTTCCTATTTCTGCCTAACAGTCACCCTCCACACATTTTATATGGTCTATGGTCCATTTGGAACTAACTTGTGTGTATGGTGTGAGGTATCCATTGAAGTCAACCATTAAGGAAATATAAACCGCAATAAGATAATACCATGTACCTATTAGAATGGCTAAAATCAAAAAGGTTGGCTATACTAGTAGTTGATATAGTTCCTCATTGTTGGATGAGAATGTGGAGGAAGTGGAACTCACAAACACTACTGGTAGGAAAGTAAAATGGCACAATCAGGAGCGAAAATGGTTTGGCAGTGTCTTAAAAGTTAAAATACACTTAATATATGATCCAGGCCTTGTACTCATAGGCATTTACCTATGAGAAATGAAAGCATATGTCCATACAAAGACTTATTTGTACATATATGTCCAAAATATGTTCATTGCAGCTTTCTTAAAATACCTAAAAACTAGAAGCAACCTAGTTAAACATTAACATGTTATCTCTAGCCAAGCTACACAGCGATCAAAGGAATGAACTACTGATATACACACCAACATAGGTGAACTTCAACATAATTATAATTATGTTAAATAAGATAAAAAATATATAGATTTATACAGTGTAAAATTTTATTTATAGATAATTCTAGAAAATTTGACATAATCTGTCATGTAGATAGTAGGGTGTAGTAGAAGGGTGATTACCAAGGGATATTAGGAAGCCCTTAGGCATAATGGACATGTTTAGAAGAAATGGTTTCATAGAATGGTTTGAAGAAATGGTTTCACAGGTTATGAAAGTATCAAAATTTGAATCATATACATTAAATATATGTAGTTATTATGTGTCAATGATACTTAATACAACTTAAAATATTGAGTTGAATATTAACTATATTATGCTCTTATGGATGATTAGTAAATAGAGTGAAACTATACATTACTTATCCTCTTAAATTTCAGTTTTAAAAGCAGAACTCAAGATAGTTCTGATTCTACCTATACTAGGTGGAAAAAGATCGCAAATTCAAATATATCTATAAAGACCCTTTCATTAGGACAAGACAAAGACAATCATCCCAGAATGAGGAGACCTTTTGCATGTACACAACTACAGAGACCCAAATGGAGTCTGCCAATTCACTGTCATGGACTAATCTTAGATGATGTGAGACAAAGGAAATCGGCACAAACTCCTAATTGGTATCAGATCAACTCATCACTGTCTCAGGCTCTGCTATAGAATTGGGATTCATCCACATGGAAGAAGCACACCAGCCTGTGTGATCTAAGGATTGTAAATAATAAAACCCCAACCCAAAGGGGGGACAGTGTCAGAGTTGAAGTTGTGAATACCTGGTTTTCAGAAGGCACTGGATGCCTGTGGAAACCCAAAATCTATTTTCAGGGTCCTCAGAAGGATCAAGTCTCTTATGAATTCCCTCTGACCATAGTCGAGGGATGTGACTAGCACTGTTAATCAGAGAGCATTGAAAAGTCCGTCATGGCAGATGTAGTCAGCTTTAAAATGTAATACTCTTATCATTTGATCTCCCCTTTGACTCATTTTTAAGTTGCTTCAGTTTTTATTATTTTTTACTTTCTCTTTGATTGAGTTATTTCTGGTTGGGTTTTTAGTGTGTGTTTGTGTTGTATGATTTCATATAATTATGTTCAGTTTTTATGATTTTCTGTGTAAGAAATTCAGGCTAGGAAGATATAAAGAGGCAG